GTGTCTGTGTGTGTGTGTGTGTGTGTGTGTATGCGTATCTGTGTGTGTGTGTACGCGTATCTGTGTGTGTGTGTACGCGTGTCTGTGTGTGTGTGTCTGTACGCGTATCTGTGTGTGCGTGTGTGTGTGTGTGTGTGTGTGCGCGCGCACATGTGCCATCCCATCCCGGGTGTGTTCCCTGTGTTCCCTGGGATAGCCTCTGTCCCCTGTGACCCTGCCTGAACAGGATAAGTGCTTGGAAGATGGATGGATAGAGGAACATTGGGGGTGTTTCCCGAAGGCTCCTTAACACTACGTCGTTCGTATGCTCTATGTTAGAGGCGTTAGAGAGGCTTCAGGAAACTCGCCCTTTGTCTTTATGCTATAGAACTCCCAGTAAGGGTCAAACCAAATCGTCCATTTGATGCCCTTACTCTGTCGTGTGTGTGTGTGACACATTTTTATTTTTTGTCTATTTATTTAGTCTGGCCTGTTCATTTTTCAGACAGGGTGTATTTAATGCATCGTTTTGTGTGAATGTGCTTCATATGACATGTCCAAGTAGCCCTTTAGAAATGTGCTTTACATATGCTGTGGGTCCCAAAAAAGATTAATTTCATTCTCTCTTGATATTATGCTTTCAGTTCTTATTTATGAGCCTGAGAACCCAGAGGCCAAACAATTTATTCCCCTCATTGAAGCGAAGTTACTGATGGGTAAGATTGTGGACTGTTATCTTCCCCCATAGATCAAATCATCTTTCCATCTCTGCTGTAATGTGAGGCTGGTTTTAACTTATTACCGAAGCATTTTAATGTCGTCACGTCATTGCTATCATTTTTATCCAGTTTTCTTGCAGCATTTTATACTTTATTTTAAAGTAATTTACATTTTTATGAGAAAAGTAAAAGCGTATCCTTTTATATTTTAATTGACTTTTCAGGAAGACATTTGGCATGGCACTTAAATATGTATAAAAAATACAATTTGAGTCTAAATTTGACTAGTTAATATGAAGTCAAAGCAGCAAACTGTTTTGGCTCAGCTAAAGCCTTCAGCCCCTTTTGAATCGAACTTGAAGAAAACAACTGAATGCACGGCTGTATTTATTCAGGATCCCGTGAGAAATACTGTATTAGTCACCTTTTAAATTGCTGTGTACTCTGTATGTATGACTGTTTATGAATTTCATATAATGTAAGGTACAAACTGCAATGCCAGTTAAGTACATATTTTGTATAATTTTTAAAAATACATATGTCATCTGTCCTGCATTCATCTGGTGACAAATGACCGCATTCAAGAATAATTGCAAAGTTAACAAATGCAAAATATCTCACCTTGCACTTACCATTTCCAAGATGGCAAAGAGAACAGCCAAAATTAGCAGTTTTTTTATTAATTTTGATTTCTTTCTGTGTACTTACTGTTTGCACTGTTTTGTTACTGCTGTTGTGGACTTGCACGCAAGTTTTTCACTCAGCTGTACTTACCAAGTGTCAAGGGATGTAACAAAGTGGCTTGAATTTGATTTGAATTAAATCTATTCCGCTCTAACTTGAACAGTTTGTAAAATGAATGTGAGACTCTTCTGCAGTGTTCATGTGCTTTACCAAGCCCCACGGTGCTTTCTGAGGATGCTGATTGTAATGTTTATTGCTCTGTCACACCAGAGCCGGAGGAAGACATCGGCTTGCACACTAGCGACAGTGATACTGAGAATGAGGGGGAATCTTTGGAACCTTCCAACTGCACCTGTTCAGACGATCTGGAGGAAGAAGTTGAGGCAACTTCATGAAGTGATGATCAGATGTTTCTGAGCAAAGAATTTAGACATTTGGGCAGCAATACTGCTGCTGCCGTCATTACTGTTAATAAACATAGTAAATTTTATCTGTATCCGTGTTGATTTTTATTAATGATTTAAGAGGTTAAGTAATTTAAGCGACCGAGCATGATGGTTGAATACTTTTTAATGCATTTTTTTTTTATAAGTTATGGCTGCTTTTTTAATGCCATCATTAGGGACAAAGTGACATAATCTCATAGTTGGGTTTGGGTTTTATAAGATGCTGTCCTAACATCTACGGGCTTTTTTCCCCCCTCCTCCTCTCTGGTATTTTGACAAGATGACCACCACAGATTTTTTATAGAGGCCATAGTAGCTGAAGAGTATGGCTTGGTGTAACCAACACAATTTGGATGAATGCACAACACACCTCTTGTTTCAGGAAAAAGTCAGATGAGCAGAAGTTCAACAGGTGCCTAGTGGGGGGAAATGCTGTGTTCCATGTCTCCTGCCTTACTTGATAAGGTGAAAGCTAGTTACTGAAATCCCTCAATATCATCTACTTGGGTTTTAGAGAAATCCAGCCGCCAACGTTATTTATGTTTTCGCTCCTTATTGTCACTGATATCCTCTTTGTCACATTCCTTATACTTTCCCAACTTCTCTCATTACACATGCAGAGAAGACTTGTCCACCTATTGTTCTGCATGCCCCAATTCCACCCTGCTACAGCTTTTCAAAATTTCACTTATGTCAGTTATTTTTGGGCCCGACTCTTTATCAGCCTTGAGCTTTCTGTATGCGCTTTGGGAAAGTTGCCCCCTCCCCTCCCCCCAGCCTCGCCATAGCGAGTTTGGAGCATGACCAGGGTTCATTTACCAAGAGGACTCTGGAGCGACTTTACTTTAGTTATTACAGTTCACAATCCGCACTGCCCAGTGAAGCATATAATCCTGTTTCAGTTCTTAGAATCTCGCAGTGAGCGCTCGTCCCCGAAAGATGATTTCATTAGCTGCATGTAGCCTATGTCCAGGTATCGCTGTGCAACGCTACGAAATGCGCGCGATCTGCGATGTACCTGGGTTTGTCATGCAAATAGTCGACTACGAATGACCACCTGATTTTTTTCCACCTGGGCAGTCTCTAAACCCTTTTAAAAAACCTAAGTAAGCACACGCAGTCTTAGTCTTATTGCATAAAAACAGAATGAAATTGGAACCGGACTTTTAAACTAAAATAGCAGAAATGAGCACCATCTGCTGGTTAATGCGAAAAAATATTTTCCGGCGTTATGCATGACTTGCATGCCGTTTTTGTGGATTCCTTTTACTTAACACCTGTTTAGGTTTAAGCATATTCTCCGCACGATGGTGTAGTAAATTGACCGATAAATGTTAAAATACCGTTATGTTTGACTAAATAACTAAATTCAAAGCTCTAGCTGTCACTCGAAAATTTTGCCTCTTTTAGTGATCATGACCGGTTATTAGGGAGGAAGTCAAACACAACCTAAGCGCTTAACACAATTTTCTGTACTAGCTAAAGATACCATTTTCTACGTTATAAATTACAAAATGGCGTATTTTCGAGGTTAGTGATCAAAGTCTTATTATCCCGTATAAAACGTATATGTAATCTAAATAGTCAAATTTGTATATATCCTTTCATATAATTACTCAGCTTTCGCAGGGAATCACAGGGTTGAATCTGCACTGCCACCTGGTGGATATAAAAATCACCCCCGAGCCCTAGACATTAAATTTCAATGACATTTATCATTCCCCTCCTCTAAAAATCCAAGAATGAGTGAATGGATGGAAATGCTTTTTTTCCTGACCTTGCTTGGCGGTTGTAAATCTATAGTACGTAAATGAAATTAGTGCATAATAAATAGTATGCCTATAGAATATTTCATTTCTCTAATATGAAGTAAGTCGAAACAGCTATCAAGCACGAAGGTATTTTGGACACCACCAGATGAAAATGACTTCATAAGTAGCAGACTGACACCTGGCGATTCTCCCTCCCCGCCTTCTGTCTGCATATAGTGAAGGTTACAGACGTAATGTGTTGCTCATAGGATCAAACTTCCGAAGTCTATCTCCGTGATCTGGATTCTAAATCGAGGTATAAAACCCAAAAGGCAAAGAAACACCTGTAAAAAGTATCGTTATCGCAGAAAAGCGACACGTCTTTTCTACGTTTTTTCCAGGTTAAGCGAATGTATTCGATACTGGAGGAATTTTATTCAACGACATAAGAAATGTTAGCGTGACTCATGCGCGCGTAGTAATGGATAAATAGACAATTGACGGTCAAAAGCCGCAACGCAAACGCACTTCATCTGAAAAGGCAAGGTGGATGGGATTTTTTGCTGTCTAGTGATATTCAAGGCATTATCTTTGGAATATTAAATGGGATTTTAATCCTGAATGGTGACAAAGCTATAATTTCCCAGAGTTTTTGGAGAGCCTGCACCTGTGCACCTGTGAAGAGTCGTTCGCACGGTAAGACGCCTCTGTTTTTCGTATATGATATAATATCGTGTTTTGCAAATCACTAAGCAAATAATGAATCGCTAATGGCAATGACATCGTTATAATACTGTTCAGGACTAATAGCATGGTATATCGTTTCGATGAATCCCAAATTTTCTATTTACTTTTCAAAATGAATAGAATGAATCACAATTTGGCATTTTCTTTGATATTTTGGGAATTATTTGAAACATATTGTGAAAATGTGTTGTGAACGTGAAGCCCGTTCGCTGAATGCTGTGATATCGTAAGATCAATGCTTTTCAGTTACTATTTAAAGCTATATTTTAATTGCAAAATCAATATACTGTTTTGTAAATCAATTTCAAACTATTTGTCGAAATAATTATTCAGACACCACTATCATTAATTGTTTGGTATTAAAATAGTCTAGGGTTGACCTACAAATTGTATCAAATCAATACCGATGTGACGTGAAAGTCTTTTGTTAAAGTAGTGTAGTTATTGATCTAAAATATTTTCTCCATAATTTTAGAGAAGGATTCTGTCACTCACCTGCCGATGCAATTATGTTTAACTGCACGGTCTGCTGGACCAATTCATCTCACCCAGACATAAGCTAAATGGTACGGATTTAACAAAGCCTATAATTGGGGCATTTAGCATTTTCGCTGAGAATGTTTTATGGAAATCTTTTATCAAGACATCAGGTTACAAACAGAATCTAGCTTTGTGTTTCTAATGAACCTACTATTTACGCCACATTTGTCAGCTTTCCACTCTGACATAATGAAAAGCCGTAACGTTGTCAAGAGACACAACATTTTTGCCCCCACTAAGGGTTGGTCTTTTACCGTATCTGTATATGGAGTTAGACTAATTGTCTGCATACCAGTCTGTGAGTTGTCACGCCACAGCAAGTTCTCTAATGACGTTTGAAAATAAATGGACCCGATCAACACATCTGGTTGTATCAAATGAGGTGTTGAGTTCCATCGAGGCTTTACCTCTTCTGCTTCAGTGCCATTATTTGATGCGTACCACTCCACATTTCTCTGCATGCAGGCTATATATACGAAACGGGTTTCCTAAAATTGAAAACTGTGATTTATTACCCACAGAAAAAATTTGGCTCGGAATCCTACTCCTTTCTCCTCTTCTTTTAGTGACCTATAACTTTTCATCTTGAGTAAAACAAAGAGGCTTTAGTGCAAGTGACAGCGAGTACACCGAAGTGACGACTTTTGTATCTGAGGACCGATGGCGGCGTCTGCACCTTCTTCTGGCGGCGATTCCGATCCCAACACGACTAATTTACGACCACCATCCACAAGTAGGTCCATCATAGATAAAACGCTTATACGCTATGACGCTCTGATGTTGCGTACTCTGTGTGCAGTATCGTTTATTATTTTCATAAATAATAAAAGAAAAAAAAATCGTAAGTGCTTCTTATCCAACAAATCACCACAGTATGTATGTGCAGTGAAATTCCTCTTGATAGACAAACCGGCTTGTCAAATCTGTTCTGCTGAAAATAGTTAAAAAAGAATGATTGCTCGAACACCAAGAAACTGTCACCACTGATAAACATTAATCTGATAAACAATTATGTAATAATTTCTTTTTAATATTGCAAGCATCATTGTATACTATATTTTATAATTATTCATCAATGAAGTTTTTTTCAGTTAAACATCAAAACCAATGTATTATTATTATTATTATTATTATTATTATTATTATTATTATTATTATTCATGTCGAGTTTTGTCCTAGTAATTACTTTCATCATCATAATTGTAGACTAAAAAGCAAGTGGACGAGGGACTAAAATACATCCATTTTAATGCTAAGTGCAAGGTTCCAAGTGTAATTACGTGAAAGCAGCGCTAATTATTGGTGCATTGAATTGGCCCTAATGGCGTTTGTTTTCCGTTGACTTATTGTAACGTCTGCAGAACGGAGCAAAATCTGAAGGCTGTTATGTCTCGAAAATTTTCACAATCAACTCCCCAAGAAAAAAAGGCATGATATACGTGTAATAAACAATGATGTATGCGTGAGACGCTTATTAAATGCAGTTTTTACCGACAAATAAATATTATCGTATCCTACATATTTTGTATTTATACGGTACACCTTGTACCAATATTAACATTCTGAGATAAAACGATAAATAATGAGGATTTTAGAGAAAGAGACTGAATGCAAGATAATAAAATTAGACACAATGCCGATGAGACTTCTGTTTTTTATTGCAATATTGGTTCCCAGGGTTGCGATCCTTGGCGATTTTTTAATTTTTTTTATTTTTTGGGGGGGGGGGGGGGGGGGTTCCATTATGTTTCTGCCATGCTTTATCTCGTGCTCAATGACCTGAGGCTGAAAGGGGTGTCGGTGTCGCAGCACGTTGCTATCACTGTCTCTGAACCCGCTCTAACATGTAATGTCACGTTGCTACATCGGATAACGTTACAAGTAGGCTAATACAAACTGGATATTAATGACATGCATAGGCCCACATTAAGCGTAAGACCCAGACACTATAGATCGGAATATACAGACCTATATGTATAACGACTACTTCAATGAAATGTGTAGCA